CAGACTCCAATCACCAAATTTAGCATCAAGCATATAATAGCCAGATACTAAATGAGTGATCATATAAAATCACTACATATTTTCTCTACTACATGATATGTCACAGAAGAAGAAAAATTGGAACATTTTTCTAAAGCCAGTAAGTATAGTAGAAAGAAATGAAATTTTAGCTAACACAGTTACCTGTATATTCTATAGGATGAACGCCACATCTATAGCATGTTTCAGAACTGTATAAAATATGAGTGGCCAAGCACTACCTCTTATAGTTGGTTCCTTCTCTCCAGGAACCTGAAACATGAATTGATGAAAATAGATATCCTAGAATTCATTTTAAGACCCAAAGTGCTACTCTGCTTCCTTTCTTTCCCTTAAACTCTTTAAACAAGTATTTGTAGCTAGGGAAGTTTTCAGCTCCAGGGATACAGGGAAGAACACAGTCAATCACACCCCCTTCTTTATAGAGGGTTATGTTCTCATTCGAAGTAAGAAAAGGAAAGCAAGCATAGTGGCTCATCTTCCTGCTGCCCAGCCCTGGGGATACTAAGGGATTGTAGGTCCAGGCCAGCCTGGAAAACATAGCAAGGTCCCCTATATCAAGACAAAAAAAGTGAACTAATTGCAACCAATGTATTTTCCAAGGGAAGGAGAAAGCACTGCAGGGAGAAACTATGGAGACACAAGGCCTTTGGGATTCTGTTAGGAAGAACCTGCCAGGCCTCATACTGGACAATAATTCTATGCCTTTAGTAAAGTTGGTAATTCATGGGAAGTTTTTATTGTCTGATATTATGTACTCTTTTTATGATAAATTTTAAAGGCTTTCTGCCTATTTATGTAATCATAAAAGAGTTCTTAGAGATATGATTTACTTCTGGTGAAATGACAATATATAACAATCGGAAATCTGATTAAAGTGAGAAATTACACACAATCTTTTAGAGAACACAGCTGCTGGAGAAAATGAGCGATCTATATTTGCCTTTGAGTTGATGCTGCCACAATGTTTTCTTGTAAAAGCACATAATTATACTGCAGCAAAATCCTTGTGTGAAAACAGGGAAGTTAACTAATCTGACCGGAGTGTTTGCTTTCTCTCTTTGGCAAAAGAAATGTCATGTGGTGAGATGCAGAAATGGCCACACACCAGAAGCTTCTTAGTAGAGATCTCCACCAGGACAGGATGCCACAACATTTCCAAACATAGCAAGAAAATATATCTATGGCCTGTCTTCCTGCCTGCCTTCCTGCCTGCCCTCCCTCCCTCCCTCCTTCCCTCCCACCTTCCTGCCTGCCTTCCTTCCTTCCTTCTTCCTTCCCTTTCCCTCCTAATCTTCCTCCTCCTTTTTCTCTTCCTCATCCTCCTCTTCCTTCTTATCCCCTTCCTCTACCTCCTCTTCCTTGTTCTTCATCCTCTTTCTCCTATTTATCCTTCCTCTCTGCCTCCCCTTCTCATCTTCCTCCACCTCCACTTTTTTCTTCTTTTTCTCAGTAACAAGGCGTGAATTCACACAAGGCCTTACACTCATTCATCTTTATTGCTCATGGTTAACATTCTATCACTTGAGCCACACCACCAGCCAAACATTTTGCTGGCTAATTGGAGATACCAGTCTCTTAGACTTTTCTTCTGGCCTTGCTTTCAACCTCAATCCTTCACATCTCAGCCTCTTGAGTTGCTAGGATTATAGACATGAATCATCATTTCATAGTCATTGATGATAATTCTGTTAGTCTTGATGACTTCAGAATTCTATTACTTTGGTACTGTATTTTGGGGAGTAACTGGTTAATATTATGACAGATGGTAAAGTTGAACTCTCGTACTTTTTTTTCTGTGTTGAAGCTATAAATTGATAGCATTTTTCTTTTATTATCCAAACTTAGATTCTTTGTTAATGACAAATACTTTTCATCTACTAGACCAGAGGAAGGGTTCTACATTTATTCTAGTGGACAGTGAGTTTTCATTACAAGAAAGGTAAGAAAACACCTTGTAAATGAACGGATGTCTATATAAATCCCCCTACACAACTTGTATTGTGTTTGTAGTCCCGTCAGGTTAGTTTACTGTCCTGAGAGGCTCACGTGTTTGGCCACTGGTCACCACCAGTGCTGATACAGGTCTGACCTCTGACCATCTGTACCTTCTCCTGGAACATTGCAAGCAAGATAAATGTTTGTTACTTCTTAGGATGCTCCATCAGACTTTCCAAGGATGCTGTGTATGGGATAAAAGAACAATATGAGTTTTTGAAGTATAAAAAGTAACATACAAAGAATTATTTACATTCATCCTATCACCTATAGCCCAGATTCCACTATCCCAATACTGTTAATATTTTATTTCTAATCCTTCCTCTTTTCTTTATTCCCTTCCTTTCCCTTCCTTTCCTTTTCCTTCCCTTCCCTCTCCTCCCCTCCCATTCCCTCATTCCTATCACCCTTCTTTCATTATGCTCAGGGCCTTTTGTTCTTACTCAGCTTTTTGCTCACTTGTTTATCTGGTGCTTTGCTACTTGAGCCATGCTTCCAAGCCAGCTTTTTGCTGCATATTTTAAAGACAGAGACTTTCGTAATTTTCTCTCATATTTTCCTCACTGGCTTTGAACAGCAATCCTCTGGATGCTAGCCTCTTGAGAAGCTAGGATTACAGGCTCTGGTGAATTTTCTTTTTTTTAATTTTTATTTATTTATTGTGAAAATACTGTACAGAGGGGTTACAATTACATGGGCAAGATAATGAGTGCATTTCTTATCAAGCCTTGTAGCCTCCTCCTTTGTTTTCTCCTTCTCTGGTTAATTTTCTGTATAAACACATTTGCCTTTGTGTTTGGCACACATGTTCATAGTATTTACCACAGTAGAAGTGTTTTATAAATATATAAATAGATGATTGTTTGAAGTATATAGTAATTTATATGTACTTGTTTTTATTAATTCAAAAAGTGACAGCTGGGCACCCGTGGCTCATGCCTAGCTACTCAGAAGGCTGAGATCTAAGGATCACAGTTCTAAGCCAGCCTGCGCAGGAAAGTCCGTGAGACTCTTGTCTCCAATAAACCACCAGAAATCCAGAAGTGGCACTGTGGCTCAAGTAGTAGAGCATTAGCCTTGAACTAAAGAGCTGAGGGATGGCACGCAGGCCCAGAATTCAAGCCCAATACCTGCTAAGGAAAACGTGTATAGAAAGGTAAATTTCTTACATGTCCATGATAGTCCATCTTCTGTGGCTTTTTTATTATTATTATTTGTGGGGAAGGGACATACAAAGCAACGCAGAAATCATCTTATAAATATAATAGAAACAATTGCATGAAAGGAAAAACAAAAACAAAAAACATTTGAATGCTTATCTTGGGGTTCATTCCCCTAACATCAACTTATCTGACCGTTTCTGCTGGACTCAGACATACACTGATTATTGTAAATAAGGGAAATCATGGGACCTATGTTTCTTTGGGCCTGGCTTACTTCACTTCATATAATTTTTTCCAAGTCTTTCCATTTCCTAACAAATGGGGCAATGTCATTCTTTCTGATGGAGGCATAGAATTCCATTGTGTATATATACCACATTTTCTTGATCCATTCATCTACTGAGGGGCATCTGGGTTGGTTCCATATCTTAGCTATGGTAAATAATGCTGCAATAAACATAGTTGTGCTGGTAGCTTTAGTGTGGTCTTGTTTGTGAACATTTGGGTAAATGCCCAAAAGTGGGATTGCTGGGTCATAGGGGAGCTCTATGTGGAGTCTTTTGAGGAACCTCCATACTACTTTCCAAAGTGGTTGAACAAGTTTACACTCCCACCAACAATGCAGTAAGGTTCCCTTCTGTCCACATCCCCTCCAGCATCTGTTGTTATTAGTTCTTGATTATAGCCATTCTAACTGGGGTGAGGTGGTATCTCAGTGTTGTTTGGATTTGCATTTTTTTATGGCTAGGGATGTTGAACATTTCTTCATGTGTCTATTGGCCATCCTTCTTTCCTCTTCAGAGAAGTTTCTCTTTAAGTCTTTAGCCCACTTATTTATTGGGCAGTTGTTTCTTTGAGGATATGTTGTTGGGCAATTTAATTTTTTGAGTTCCAGGTATATTTTAGATATGAGACCCTTGTCTGTTGTATGGGTAGTGAAGATCTTCTCCCAATCCGTGGGCTTTCTATTGATCTTGCTAGCTATGTCCTTTGCCATGCAGAAGCTCTGCAATTTCATGCAAAAGGATAATATGATTTTTTTTGAAAAAAATACTTTTTTGAAGATTTCAACTGACAAATTTTAGTCTCATTTTAATCCATTGAATATTTACCAAAAAGGATCATTTTGTTTCCTTAACCGTTTCCTCCCATTTAACAGTATATCATTAACATAATGTTTCTTAGCCATTCAGCAACCTTCCACAGTGCAATCTTCCTGCCTATTATTAAAATGACATTTAATTAATTCCCCTTGGTAGACCTCTAATTTGTTTGCAATGTTTCATTATTAGGCAGACTTAGAGCAGAAAACCCTGCATTTTGTCCTGTGGCAGGTCAGCTGTGATTTCATTAAGACAAATCCTGGAGGGAGAATTTCTGATTCCAACTGTGGGAAAATTCTGAGGCTTTTTGACAAATACTGCCATATTGCCTCTGACAGGTTGTACCCACTGACATTCACACCAAAAAGAAGCATGGAAGTTTTCGGGCTAGTTACCTTAAAATTAAGCAAATCCTTTTGCCTGCCATCCTCGAGAGCATGCTGTAACTGCTCACCTGCACCTTTATGAGGAGGATGAGTTCTGTTCTTCACCCTCTCCCCAAATAGGGACAGTAAGTAGAGTGAGGAGTGGGGAGGTGTTTTGGCTAACTGTTCACACAGTCCAGGCTGAGTCTCTCATGAGAGGCTTTGATCACCCACTCATTAGGTTGCGCCTTGAGTTTACTTTCCACTAAATGTTATTACTCTTTTGTCCTGTATTGCTTTACATTAATCACTGTGTTTTTTTTTTCTTCCAGCACCTTCTACAGCAACACAGGAAGCGTGGTCCTGGGAGCAGTACCTAAAAGAACAAAAAGCCACAGCTGCACCTGTGGAGCTGTTTTCCAAGGTCAGCCACTGAAAGTCTTAAGAGTATTGCCAGGAATCCATACTTGGGACATTTAATTAAAATGACTACTTTTGCCTAGATAGCCAGTTGACCCATTCGAACTTGTAGACTGGGCTAGGCAATGATGCAGCGCAGGAGATCAGAGTGTGCACTGGAACCTGGGTTTGCCGCCCTGTTACTGCTACTTACTGGCTCTCAGATGTAAACAAGTCTTTCAGCCATCCCGGTACAATGTTTTCTTTTTTTCATCTCTGAGGTAAAGAGTGTCCCTTCCCTTCATCATTGGATTCTGGGAACACTAACTAACATGTGCATATAAGGCAAAGGATGTGATGTGTATATACTAAACATGCACCTTACCTAGTATCACTTATACATGTCCTCCCAAGGGCCACCTCGGGCAGTTTTAAGGAGCTGCATGGTAGGGTGTGTCAAATGAGATATTGGACTCATAAATCACATTATTCCTGACTAGAAGGATGTACAATGCAGCTATTGACTGTGACTGCCAGCCCCCAAGTCTTGCAGCAATAGGGATCAGCCTTAACCAAGATGTGTGTGTGTGCATGCATGCATGTGTGTGTGTGTGTGTGTGTGTGTGTGTGTGTGTGTGGCTGCTCTAATGCTTCTTGGTGTGTTTGCAATGTTTCAGAAGTTTATATGAAAAAATTGCATTGGATTTAACACATTCTATGATTTTGATCTATAGTGAGAAGCTAAAGCCTTTTATTTACTGAATGAAGGAAAGAGGATCTCATGGCCAGTAAGGCTGGGTGAAGAGTACCCATGGAGGCAGAGGGTCTGGGAGACTACAGAGTGCTGAGGACAGGACATCCATGCTCATGGATGCTCCTTGACTAATGACTCAACTGTAAATGTGTGAACGGTGATATTTAGCCATTCTAGGATGGAAAAAAATGTTAAATCAACAAACTACCTTCACCACCACCATCACCAAAACAAACAAAACCATAGCAATATGAAGCAGATGTTGGTTGGTGATGTAAAGTCCGTGGAGTGGACTTGTTAGTACCCCAAAGATGAGAGGAGACTTCATCTGACACTGAGTGAGGAGAGCAGTGCTGCTCCCCATTGACTCGGCCTGATCTTCTTGCTGTCTAGGCTTGCTCAAGATACTGTTACTCCATCTTGACACTTAAGTTTGTTTTTTTTTGGGGGGGGGTCTGGTCGTGGGGCCTGAACTCTGGGCCTGGGCACTGTTCCTCAGCTCTTCAGCTCAAGGCTAGCACTCTACCACTTGAGCCACAGCGCCACTTCCGGCTTTTTTCTTTTTGCTTATGTGGTGCTGAGAAATCGAACCCAGGGCCTCAGGCATGCAAGGCAAGCGCTCTGCCACTGAGCCACCTTCCCAGCCCTTGGCACTTAAGTTTTAAGAAAAAAACACCCCATGATTTATATTTGACAGCTTCAGTTTGGTAACAAAGGCAGGTTCCTGTCAGCCTTCCAAGGAGGAGTACTGAACTGAACTTAGGTTCCTGTTGACATCTTGTGCCTGACTGCAAATGCTCATTTTGTTCTGTTAGTATTATCCATTCAGGTCTGCCAATGTGATGGAACTCTCTAGCTTTAGTCACTGAAGTGTGGAAAATAACACTTAAAATAGTTTGCATACCTAGATAGAAAACTATTCTGAAGACAAGAACGTAGAACTTTATTTTTAAGATACCATTTCCATAATGACATTCAAGTTTTAGATGACTTACCAAAGCCACTTACCCTACATATTCCTAATTCCATCATATATACATACACAATTCATGTCAGATACATATTCTACCAAGAAAATGTGTGTAATACTACTTTAAGGAAAGTATGTCATATTTTATTTGCACACAAGGATTTTTGCCTACCTATAGATCTATTTTAAGTTTCTTTTTGTGTACAACCAAAGAAAGTGTTTCATATTTTATAATTTATTTAACCATCTGGGATAATGAGTATACAAGTGTATAAACACCTTCTGTTGACAGAGAAGATTTTAAAACATTTTTGCTTGATTATTGGTGATATGTGACTACTATCTTGAATTGGTCTGAAGTTTTTAAATACTGCTTTTTCTTTTTGCCTGAGGGTTGGTATTAAATGTGTTTCTCTCTTACACCTTCTGCTAATTCTCTCACGCTCACTCACTATCCCATGTAGTTTTCTGGAACATTTTCTTTACCTTGGTGCTCATCACCTCTGGTCCATATATGTCTGCTCAAACCTGAAGTCCTCCAGTGTGATGCAGATGTGCATCAAACCCGTTTCTTCTGGGGCTTGTCAGCCTGCTCCAAGCTCTGGCTCTTCCTGTCTGTGTTTGTGTCGCTGAGCCTTGTAGGTGCCTGACATCTTCTTTTAAGATGGCCCAGACAGCATGCTCACTCTGGCCTGGTGACGTGCCCTCATGTCCTGGTGGGAATAAGAGCTGGTGCCTGCTCAGTTCCTGCAGGAAGAACCGAGACCTTGTTTCTGGCCTGGAGCAGCCCCCCAGCCTTTGCACCAGCCACAGCCCTTGCTTGTCTTGAATCAGGAGCACAGCCAGTCTAGATCTGCATTGCCTTGTGTGCTGACAGCAAGAACCACCAAACTGCTCCCCCTTGGCCTGAAGGCCAGATGTGTTGTTGATGCCTTGGCTGGCATGAGATTGTTGGGAAGACAGGCAGAATTCACACTTAGATCCTAGCAAATTGGGGATGCATCTACATTTTTGAAATAATTGTGTATTTTTGAACAAGAAGTCACTACAAGAAAAGTTAAAATCTTTTTGGACTTCTATATAGATGCTTTACGCTTTAGTAATAGAGGTTTAACTTGAAATCTATGTAGTTAAGTTCTTTCGCTAGTTTCCTAACGCTGCTATAGCAAACCACCATCCATGTGATAACTTAGACAGTGCAGATTTCTTACGACGCAATTGGGAAAGTCTGAAGTCTGAATGGGCTCTGTGGGGCTGTCCTCCCTCTGCAGGCTCTTGGGGGAGAATCTCTTTGCTTACCCTTCCTCATTCCCACTTCTGTTCACATGTCCCTTGTCACATGTTCCCTCTGGGCTCTAGTGCCTCTCTTGGATAAAGACCTTTGGGGGTGAGATTGGGCTCATCAGATACCCAGGATAGTGTTCCCATCTCAGGATGTTTTGCTCCACCTGCTCTGCAAGGCCCTGTCTGCAGGTAAGGTTACTTAAGCACAACGTGTGGTGTATAGCACCTGGTGCAACTTTGAAAGTGACATTCTTCTGCCTAGTGCAGGCCGCATCCTCTTTTTATGGCTGGTGGCAGCCCTGATCCTGGTCCTAGGAATTTCTTAGGAGTGAGTTCCATCCAGATTATTCTACTGTGCCAAAGCTGCCTTAGTTTACACTGCTGTTCCCTCCTGCTCCTCCTCAGTGTCCCTGCTGTCTATGTTTACTGTCTATGTACACTGCCCATGTCCATGCCTCCATCCCTCAGGGCTGTAGGCAGGCAGGCCTAGTCCTCCAGCTCCCTACCAACTCTTTCTTCTGCTGCATGTCTAGCCTTACCTCCTTCTCCTCCTCATGTGTGGTTTTAGGTGCTTTTATTCCACCATTTCCATTCTAGGTGCTTCATGAGTATGTCCATGTGCACATGTGTGTGTCTGTTCTTATACTATTCACCTCCATGCACTCCGTCCTGTTTTCCCTCACTCCAGCCATGTTCCTCTCCTGTGACACCTATGCCCATGTGACAGTCTGTCCAGTTCCCTGGTACCTTCAGTGCTTTCAAGGGACATTTCTCTCCTTTTTCAATCCAGCCCATCCCCTGCCTGGCCACATTTCACAAGCTGTAGTTGAATCTTTTCCGCACTGGGGGCTCTAATCTTACTAGCTCATCTTCCAGACTTTTCCCTCTCTCATTCTCTTAGAACCCGTTTTGCTTCTAAGATTTCTAGTTCTTCCACTTTCTCTACTTGCTTCACATTTCTCCTGGCCAGCCTCGGTGTGGTGTCTATGTCCTTCAGGTTAACCACCCTGTCACTGAGATCCTCATCTCCCTGGCCACCCTGCTGCCTGCAGCTCTATGCCTGCTGCACAGGCAGGTCTGTGTGGCTGTGTCATGTTTGTCTTTGGTGCCCGCATTGCTACACGAGGACCACAGGTTGGTGGCATGGCACATCCAGAGCCCTAGTTGGGTGGGCATCATCTTGGCATCATCTTTGTCATAAGCCTGGACTCTCTTCCTTGGAAAGCAGTCTTGATCTTACAGGACTCTTTCCTACCTCTAATAGAAGCCATCACTTCTTCATGGATATATAGTCGATGGACCTTAGGCTTTTTCCTGCAAAATATTACTTTGTGCACCTGCTCTGGCCTCTCCCACACCATCCTGGGAAAGGCCTCTTGTCACTGATCCACTGTTGTTTTCCTGTGCTCGAGAGTCTCTCCTTTCCCACCTGGCTAGAACTTTTCTTCCATTGCCCACCTCATGCCCCAATTGCCAGTTAGCTGGGCTTCCTTGTTTCCTTTCTCTTTCCTTTCCCTTAGGTGACAAATTTCCTAAGTAGCTGGGTGCCAGTGGCTCACGCCTGTCATCCTAGCTACTCAGGAGGCTGAGATCTGAGGATCGTGGTTCAACGCCAGCCTGGGCAGGAAAGTCCATGAAACTCTTATCTCTAATAAACCACCAGAAAACCGGAAGTGGCACTGTAGCACAAGGGGTAGAGCGCTCTCCTTGAGCTGAAAAGCTGAGGGACCATGCTTAGCTCCAGAGTTCAAGCCCCACGACCGACAAAAAAAAAAATCCTAAGTAGGTCCCATAATAACAAATTCTTCCCTGGACTCTACATTTTCCTCACTGACTCATCTTCTCAGCGCAGGCCAGATTTTGGAAAGCTTAGAGCCTTTTTCTTCTTTCCTTGATTTTTCAAACCTTTCTTTTCCATCTCCGTCGGTCCTGACTTCTATCTCGCCATTGTCTGAAACTGTCTGTGGGAGTGACTCCAAGGATTCCACAGCAGATGCATGCCAGGCCTCATCTCAGC